AATTTTATCATTTTAATACAATTTTTATTAAAAATATTTTATCATATTTGAAATAAAAATTATTTGAAATAAAATTTCATTTTTTTATTTCAATCAAATTTTACATAATTGTTTTTTATCTAATTTGTAATTGCTAATTTTAATCTAATTTCAAATCATTATTTTAGACAACATTAAAATATATTTTTTTAATCATATTTAAAATCATTATTTTCAAATCTAGTTACAATAATTATTTATTTATTACATTTTATAAAAATGATTTTTAATGTAATTTCAACCCTAATTCACTAATTTGATTTTTATTTGTATATTTTAATTTAGTTCCATATCAATATTTTTTATAAGACGCAATATGATATTTAATATTATTTTTGATATAATTCAAATTTTTAAATTATCATCATATTCAATATTAAAATTTTTCATCAAATTATATTTTTATTTTTTAATCATATTTAGAAAAATGTTTTTTCATCAAATTTAAATCTATTCATTTCATCAGATTCAAATTTTACTTTTTTTATAGAATTTCAAAAATTATTTCTGATATTATTTTTTATATAATTTTATGGAATTTTTTAAAATTTTATTTTATCAAATTTGTGTAATATTTTTATCCAATTTCAAATTAATATAATTAATCCAATTTTAATTAAATTTTTTTCATCCAATTTTAGCATATTGATTTAAATCCAGTTTTAATGTTATTGCTTTTATCCAGTTTTTATGTTTTTTTTCATCCAGTTTTGATTTGTTTATTTTATCCAATTTCAAATTATATTTGTTTACCCAATTCTATCAGTTATTTTCATCAAATTTTATTATAATTTTTATCCAATTTTAATATTTTTTAATGAAATTTAAATTTTTATTTTTCATAAAAAAATTATAAAAATATTTTTAATCCAATTTTTAAAAAAACTTTTTTAATCCAGTTCCATGTTTAATTCTTCATACAATTTTATATTATTTTTTATCATGTTTTAAATTATATTTAATGTGATTTAATCTTCTATTTTCATCAAATTTCAAATCCATGATTTAATGAAATTTATATTATACTTTAACAAGTCAGCTTTACACATTGCAGTTGAAAAAGGTAATCCAGAGATGGTTCAGCTTTTGTTAACAAATCCAAAAATAAATGTTAATTCTAAGCTAATTTCCATTTAATAATTTATCTAGTTTTATACATATATTTATGATGTTTAATATACTATTCTAATATAATTTAAAAATAGTATTTCACAATATTTTTTTTTTAAAATTAAATGAAATTCGAATAAAATTTTTTTACGACATTTATATAATATATTTACCTAGTTTCTTTTTTTATATTTACCAAATTTTAATTTATTTTAATACGGTTTTTAACTCAATATTAATGAAGTTATAAATTATTAAATTTTATAAAACAGCATTACATATCGCAGTGGAAAGAGGAAATACTGAAATTGTTCAATTATTATTATCGCATCAAGAAATTGATGTAAATATGAAAATAATTTGCATTTTATTTTTTAACGCAATTTCAATATATATATATATTTAATCAAATTGAATCAAGTTATTAATGCAGTTAAATATACAATTATTTCAATTCAATTTGAATATTTATTTTAATGTAATTTTATATTCAAAATTTAGATCGAATTCCAAATATATTATATTCATCTTATTTCAAAATATATTTCTAATGGAATTATATATTCTATTTTAAAATTCAGTTTCTAAAATAATATTTTTAATAAAATTATAATTAAAATATTTTATGGAATTTTATATTCATATTTGTAATTTAGTTTTTAATTAAATTTATTAATGAAATTTGAAAAAAATATTATTTATAAAATTTAAATTGATTTTATTTTAATTCAATTTCACAGAAAGTTTTATGATATTTAAAATATACCATATTTATATAATTTCAAAATTATATTTTTTAATTGGATTTAATTAATTAATTTAAATAGAGTTAAAATAAAATTTTGAATAGAGTTTTAAATTAGTTGATTTCATGCTGTTTCAAATGATTTTTTATATCATTCTAATTAAATTGTTTAATGAAATTTTTATTAATTCTTTTAGTACAATTCATAATATTATTTTTTCATGTAATTTTAAAATTCAATATTTTTTATTTCGTTTTTAATGAATTATTTTAACCTAATTTCAACATAACTATATTAACAATATTTTATATTAACATTTTTTATCAAATTTGGTGCTAATTGTTTTTGTAAAATTTTATATTTAAATATTTAATGACATTTCATTTTTTTAATTTAATACAATTTTGAATATTTTTTTTATAAAATTGTTTTAAAAACATTTTTCCCTTAATGATATTTCTCGGCTAATATTTTTATGGAATTTTTTTAAAAAAAATTCTCATTATATTTCAAATATAATTTTAATGTAATTTGAAAGTTTCATAATTTCATATAATTTCTTAAAAAAATATTTATGTAATTTTAATATTCAAAACTTTAACGGAGTTTATTTTATCACATTTGAATGCAGTTTTACTATTAAAATTAATATAGTTTAAAATCATATATTGTTAATGAAATTTTAAATCATTTTTTTAAATTTAATTTTATCATAAATTTTTTTTATTTGGTTTCAAAAAAATAATTTTTATATAATTGGAAAACTGATATTTTAATCACATTTGATTTAAATTTTATTTTTGGAATTCAATATTTAATTTTTTTTTGCAATTTCATATTTAATTGAATGCAATCTTAAATTTTCAATTTAAATACAATTTTAATTTATTGCTTAAACATAATTTTAAATATCATATTTCAATGCAATTTCAATTTTGATTTTTAATAATATTCACAAATCATATTAATTTTATAAAATTAATATTAATCATTTCAATATAATTTCAATATTATCAATTCATAAAATTTAAATTTAAAAATTATATTACATTTCAGATTATTATTGTATAAAATTTCAAAAAAAATATTTATGTAATTTTTAATTAATTGTTTTTTATAAAATTAAAATTATTATGTTTTTACCAAATTTAGATTAATTTTTTGTTCATACAACTGCTTTACATATTGCTGTAAAAAATGAAAATATAGAAATCATTCAACTATTATTATGCTGTAGAGATATAGATCTCAATGCCAAAGATGAAGTTCAAATTCAAATTTTAAATCAAATTCAAATTATAATTTAATGATTCATTTGTTTTATTTTTGGAGAAAACCAATAGATATGACTGATAATGAAGAAATAAAAGAACTATTAAAAGGATATCTTTATTAAATTAAATTAATATTTTATTATACTCTTTTTTTTAAATATATTTGAACTTTATACATATTGATCTTTATGTATGTCAATGAACAGAAAACTTTTTTCAAAATATTTACTTATTTTTTATCTTTTTGACAACTATTATATGTAAACTGAAACAAGAAACTTGATTGCATGATATCCCCCAAAAAATATTTTTTCAATGAATAAAATTTTTCTCCAACCGCATCAAAAAGTTAAAATTTAATTAAAATAATTTATTATTTATTAATATATATTATAAAAATAATCAAGGCTTTAATCGTATAAAATAATTATTGAGATTTGACAAAAAACTAAGATTTTCCGTATATTTTTGAGATCGGTTCGAACAATAAATATCGAATGAATTTTAAAATGTGAGAGCTTTGGTGAGAAAATGGCATTGATATTTATCATTATATGAATTTTTCTCAATATTTTTGATATATTCATAACGAACAAAACCGTTATCAAATCTTATCGATAAATAACCCAGACTTCAACTTTGTTTTGAATTCAAAATAATTTTAGTTTTGATTTAAGATAATAAACAAATAAATGATAACTTAAATAGTTTATTAGTAAATAAATGTGAAATTTCATTTTGATGCTTCTATGATAATTTATCTTTTGTTGTCTTTAATTGTTGGTTCAATTATTTTATAAACGAAATCATCTTTGCTATATTCTTCTTTTTCAATTCTAACCTTAGATCTCATTTTGTATTCAGTTTTATTTTGATGACCATGTCCTCCATATTTTGAATGTTTTCTTATCGGTGAATAGCTTCTTTTAGATTTATGTTTTCTTTCTGATATTTATTATTTCCTCTTTGGCTCTTGTGACATTTTCATTTCTAATATATCTATGCTTGTTTTTTTAGGTGATTCCTGATTTGCCATCATCAATAAAAATGAAATGACTTTATTTTTTTTGTTAATAGATAAACAAATAAATAAAATTGAAATAAGGCATATGTTTCTCAGAATTTAAAATTTTGACCTTTATTATTTAAAATATGGAATTGTCCATTTTGAATTTTATTACAGAAAAACTTTTCTTTTCTAAAAATAAAATAATTATATGGTTTTAGATGTTTTGCTAAACATGTTGTGAATAATCTTACAAAATTATTTTAGAGTTATTTCACTTTTGTAACGAAAAATGCAACTTTTTTCAAAATTTTGGTCACTTAACTTTTTGATTCTTTTTCCACTTTCATAACAACTTCATCAAAATAGTCGAAAATCATTTTTGATATAAGCATTAATAAAACTCCCAAATTACAATTTCTTTCTTGAGCTCATTTGAGTGAAAAAATTGAAGAGGATTACAAAAATTTTAACTAAGATGTCTAATATATTGAAATAATGGTTTAAAAGCATGTTTCATCGGTAACTGATTACCCAAAAGAGACTTTTTGTTATAACTTTCAAAAATTGAATAAGAAAATAATTAATTTTTCTCTCAATTTTTTTTTTTTTTTTTTATTTTCGAGAAATTTAGAAAATAAATTTTTTATAATCTTTTTATATTTTATTATATTTCTTACCGAGACTACATACAGCCTAGCGGGCGTCGAGCATGGCCAAGTCCAGGTGGATGGCGGTAAGTATCGGTGAAAAATATGCACCATAAAAATAGAAAAAGATTAACTTATATATATAAATTGAATATTTAAATATAAATTAGCAGAAGGGTGTTTAGCTCAGTGGTAGAGCATTGCACAGGCGGTGCAAAGGTCGGAAGTTCGAATCTTCTAACATCCATTTTTTTGAATTTTTTCATCTCTTTTTTTTTTTTTTTTTTTTTTTTCCTTTATTTATTCTTCATTAATCATGTTAAGATTTAGCAAAATAGACAAAAGTATTTCATTCAATTTTGAATAGTTAACGTAGACAAGTCTTGTCTAAATATGTCTAGACAAAAGTGTATTTTCATATTCAATATTCTAATCAAAAATCATAATATCGATTAATGCATTTGTTTTTTTCTAAGAATTAAAATATTAATATAATGTATAATACTTTTTATTACAGTTAAGTAATTTTCTTTCATATTCTTTACTCCAACTTTTTGAATATGAAACAAAGTCAGAAACAAAAGTTGATTTCATGATTGTACGTTAAAGACAAATGAAAAAGCTTAATCATGTGAATGAAATGTATATTTGTTCTTTCTGTATATTTACATAATTTAAAATGTTGGGAAGAAAAAAATATATTAAAAAAAGGGGGGATTCGGGAATCGAACCCGACATCTCTCGCACCCGAAGCGAGAATCCTACCACTGGACCAATCACCCTCAACATTCTCTTAAATAATTTTTTAATAATAATTATATAATGGAAATATTCGTTTTCTCTTTAATTGAATAATTTTCAAATATGCTAGCTGCCTTAATATCATGTTCTGCATCAATATTAATTAAATCATATGAAGAAAAATCATTTTTATCATGGATGAGGCAATCAAATCAATTTTTCACAGGTGATGATTATCATTTTCGCCTTGGTATTTTCATTTCAAATCTACGCAATGTTCAAAATTTCAATTCAGTTGGAAAATCGTTCAGAGTTTCCCTTAATCAATTTTCTTGTTGCACTCCTTCAGAATATAATTTACTTCTTGGGCGTTTATCAACATCTTCAAAAAATTATTTAAACAGAAAATTTGATACAAAAGCATATAAAGGAGAATTACCTGATACGGTTGATTGGCGAAGTAAAGGAATTGTTAATGTTGTAAAAGATCAAGGGCAATGCGGATCTTGCTGGGCCTTTGGTACGATTCAAGCTTGCGAATCAGCTTTTGCTTTATCATATGGCCATCTTTTTTCATGCTCAGAACAAAATCTTGTTGATTGTTGTACTTATTGTTCTGGTTGCAGTGGAGGTTCTGAATCTCAAGCATTACTATATATTATCAGATATCAAGACGGCTTCTTAAATTCAGAGTCTGACTATCCCTACACAGCAATTGATGGTACTTGTTCTTTCGATCAAACAAAAGCGATCAACAAAATCTCTTCATACATAAATGGCGAAAGATTTGATGAAAATAATTTAAAATTACTTGTTTCAAATGGTGTATGTATTATAGCAATTGACGCATCAAAATGGTCATTTCAAATGTACAGCGGTGGAATCTACGATGAACCTTCTTGTTCATCATCTAAAATTGGACACTCAGTAGGTTTAGTCGGCTATGGTACTGAGAATGGAATTGACTATTGGCTTGTAAGAAACTCGTGGGGAGAAAATTGGGGAGAAAACGGATATATAAGAATGAGCAGAAATAAAGATAACCAATGCGGAGTTGCGACCGATCCTCTTCAAGTTCAGGCATGATTTATATTATTTATATATTTTTAAGTGTTTAAATAAAGCATAAAATAGATCAATGGCTTATGTATACAGTACTTTATGAATTTTTATTGTGAATTTTTCTTTGATTTCTCAAAGGTGTACCTTTGATTGTAGGAAAATTAAAAAATTTTGATTTGATTTAGTATCAAAGAAATTTTATCAGGTATTATTTTCAATTTCCCTACAAATTAAAATATATTGCAATTATTATATAATTTATAAGTCAAAAATATAGGATTTATGGAATTTTATTGCTTGTTTGTCTGAAAAATATCGATATATTGAAGAAAATTTTGGAAGCGTTAAGGGAGTACATATGTATGGGTACTGGATTCTCTTCCGTCATTTATTTATATATTCATATATTATATTAATTAAGAGTTAATTAGATTATTTTATAAATACCAGAATATTTTAATGGGCAATAAGTGATATATCAACGATTTTATTTTTAAATGAGAAATGATCGTTTTTTTATTTTTTGAATAAGATCATTGAAATATTTGAATATAAAAATTTAATTATGAAATATTTTTATCTTTTAGAACTACTTATATTTATAAATTATTTAATATAAATAAAAATATATAAATATATTATATTAGAAAAAATATAAATGTTAAGAATTATGTTTATTTTTTGGAGCTAAAAAAACAATTCAATATCTTTTGGTCAAGTGTAACAATTTTTTCGTTGAGCGCAAATAAAAGAATTCGTTTGTTGGTTCTAAAAATATGGAATTTTTCAATATTTGACCAGAATTTCATAATTTTTGGCTTAAAAAAAAATATAATTTTTTCAATCTTTGAAAAAAATAGTAGATTTCAAGGATAATTATTTCAAAAAGAAATAATTATATTTAAGACATCTTTTAAATCTTGCGAATTTTCATCAAATTTGTAATCATTAAAAATGCGAATTAAATTTTCATAATTTTCTTCAAGATCATCTGAATTTTTCAAGAATTCCATTAAAGAAGATTCGACAAGTTCTCGAGAATGCATATATATTATGATATCTGATCTTTCAAGAATTCACTCATTTTATTTTTTATAAAGTAATAAAAAGTGACAAAATAGCTTGTATGCATTTTTTTAAAAAAACTGCTGATTAAAAGTTCATTCCCAATATAAATATAAATATAATGTAACTTATCACTATTATATTTTTATTTATTTAATATAAATTCGGAGCTCTATAACAAGATATTAAAGATTCTTATTTATCGTTTTTTCATTTTCAAATATTTTGAATTGCTAAAAATTTATGATAAAAAAAAGAAACTTCTCAGAACTTTTTTTAAAAAACTGCTGATTAAAAGTTCATTCCCGATATATATATAAGTATAATATAATTTAATACTATTATATATTTATTTATTTAATATAAATTCGGAGCTCTATAACAAGATATTAAAGATTCTTATTTATCGTTTTTTCATTTTCAAATATTTTGAATTGCTAAAAATTTATGATAAAAAAAAGAAACTTCTCAGAACTTTTTTTAAAAAACTGCTGATTAAAAGTTCATTCCCGATATATATATAAGTATAATATAATTTAATACTATTATATATTTATTTATTTAATATAAATTCGGAGCTCTATAACAAGATATTAAATGATTTTAAATTTCTTTCAATATTTATATTACTATTGAAAAATTATAAATCTTAATTTGGTCAACTTTTATTAATTAAATGCTTTTTTATATTATTATATATATAAAAATAAAATAAAAAAATTTTTAATAAATAAAAATTTTAAATAATTTAACGAATTTTGATCGTCTACCCACACATATGGGAGTACTCATCTTATTTTGAATGATAAAATAGTCATATCACATCTATCCAATTTTTCATGTTTTTAATCCGATTTTATGCATTATATGATATTTAAAGAATATATTAATATTTTTTAAATCGATATAGCACGTATACAGATATATTTAGTATCGAAAAATGAAAGGATAATCATTATCATATTTTTTCTTATGATATTTTTGGATATATGTAGCATTTATAAAATGTAAATGCATTATACTATCATATTTATATGTGAACATTTTTTATGGCTCTAGAAGTATGATAAAGCATTGTCATCAAATTAAAAAGATTTTAATTCATATGTTAACATAGTCAAAGATTATCCAGACGATTTCATAATTGTAGCGTCAGGCAACCATGATGAATTTGGCATTGATGTCTACAACTCTCCAAAACATTATATTATACAGTATGTTGATTTTTACAAAGAAAACCAAATATATGAAAAATATGACAATTTTCTCATTTCTAAAGTGAAGCATGACAATATTGACATTTTTGTAATGAATGCATATCATTATCCGACAGTTAATGCTGAACTAGGTTATTACATGAACATAAAAAGTGGAATGATTGATAGAATCGAGTCAGTTTTATCAAAACCAACAGATTCAAATGCACGCATTTTGATCACGCATTTTGATCACACATTTTCCATTGACGTACACAACTGAGCGAGTGAGGTCAAAGAGCAAAAAGACGTTAATGAAAGTCATAACAACAAGTAACATGACTGTCTTTTTAGCTGGCCTCACTCGTGAGTTAATTGTTCATAGAAACACAGCACTCGAAATTCATCCGTGGGCGATAAAAAGAGGCTTGAAAGGATCCCAAGCATATCGGTATATAACGGTTGATAACGGTAATTTTGATGATCATTCATACAACTTGAAGCTTGAAAGACTATTGTCACGTATCCAATCTCAAAGAAAATCATCAGTCATCGGACCGATTTTTCATTCAATACATTCAATCAAGCCGATGTCAGAGTTGTCCATTTTTCAGAGAATCCAAATTTGAGTATAACCGTCACTTGCCGTTGTAAATCAACTGGTTACAAATCGAATTCAACTCTTCTTAAGATTCAGCGTGTTATTCGACGGAACCAGTCATTATACTCAACATCATTAAAGCAGTTATGTGACCAAAATGACATAGTAAATCAAACAATCTTCACTGAATTTATTCCCACTTTTTCAGTGGATTTCAATGGAACAACCGTTTTTGTTACAGGAAATTTTGTTCAACTTGATCGTGAAAAACTTGATACTGACGTTTCTTCACGTAAAGCATTGTTGGTTGTTGGCGTTATTTGTTGGATTTTAATATGGATAACTTGGTGCCCTTTTCCGCCATTCAATTCCTTTAGTTATTATTGCAACTGGGTCTGGGGAAAGAATGCTGAATACACAAAAAATTGTAAGAGAACTGCAATTGAATGCATTTCAATTATATTTGGTTTTACTTATATGAAATCACAGTTTTATCAGGTGATTTCAAAATGGATGCAAATTGTTTATTTTTTCTTCATTTTTACTCCTCTTTTTGTGCCTTTTTGCTTGATTAAGGTTGGA